GCCGGCCTGCAGGGGCCCCAGCACTGGTTCCCACTGATGATCTCTGAAAGCCCCAGGGCTGTATGTAGTCCACTTGGCAGGACTCTGGCTTCTCAACAAGGGGTGTTGTTTAGCTTGATGCTCAGCCAGCTTGGTGCTGGGCAGTTCCCAGATCCAGGGAAGTAGGCCCCGGTCGTCCTGGAAGCTGGGCTCCCCCACTTCTGTGCATGGCATTTCCTTGTGGAGCTGGCAGAAGTGGGTGGTTCCTGTGTCCTGTGGGTTGAGGGGCATCAGGCCCTTGGGCGCCCCCCAGCTTTCTGACTGGCCTGGAAGGAAGTCGTCACTTCCAGTCAGGAGCACTCCTGTCCCGCTGCCCGGAGCAGGGGCCGGAGGGGGGCGTTTCATAATAGGTGAGACTGATCTTCCTGTTTCTCCCTTACCTTGTGCCCTAGATTCCGCAGGTGTTGGTGAAGCTGAAGAAATACTGTCATGGGGACAAGGTGAGTTGGAGAAATGGGGTGGGGTGTGGAGCAGGTGAGGGCATTTCTACGCTGGAGAAACAAGGGCAGGGGAGGCCGTTCAGACCCTGGTCGGGCAGTCTGTGCTTGTGTTCAGAAGACAGCAAGTGTGTGAGAGCATTGGAGCCCTGTGTGAGTCCTGCCATATGTGGCCTGGCTCCCGGCAGCAGGCAGGCTGTCCCCTCCAGCAGGCAAGGTCGCCTGAGGGAAATACCGATGCCCCTTCCTTCTCCGATCCAGTCCTTGGAGTCGGTGGCAGGCAGGACCTACAGCATGCCCCTGCATCCAACAGGATGGCCTTGCATGACTGCCTTGTGGGCTGTGGGAGGAGCAGGGGACCCAGAACCCCGGTGGAAGTTTCTGACCCTTTGTAGGACTTCACTGAGGATGTCCACTCTGCTTTTGAGTTCCTGCTGAAGCTCACCCCGCTGTTGGACAAAGCTGACCAGCGCTGCAAGTATGAGCGCCCTGCTCAAGCCCTGCGCTCCTGGAAGGTGTTCCGGGCTCTTAGCTTGCTGGCTATGCCAGATAAGCCTCTGGGGACACTGTCTCCTTGTTGGCTCCCCTTGGCAGGGGCAGGAAGCAGCAGCCCTGTAGTTGCTGCGAACCGAGATCTCTGTTCCCTTCCCTCCAAATTGTCCTCATCCTCAAAACCCTTCCCTGTAAACTCCCAGCTGTGCGCGCCGTTGTCTCATCATCATTTTCCCTCACAGCTGTGATTGTACAAACTTCCTGCTCACAGAATGTAGCAAGCAGGGGCTTCTGTCTGAAGCCAGTGTCAACAGCCTTACAGCTAAGCGGTAAGTGTGAGCTCATGCAGGCTACCCCAAGAGCCCCGGGCTTTTCTGTCTCCTGTTGACTGGGCTGCTGCTGCCTCTCCCACTCCTGTCTAAAGTTTGGGTTGCAAATGACTGGGACCATGCCACGAGGGGACAGGGGACAGGAAGGGACAGACCAAACTCAGTTCTTTAACATACGGTTTGGTTCTCTCAGTCGCTACTTTTTTTTTTTTAACATTTATTTATTTATTTGAAAGGCAGAGTCACAGAGGCAGAGACAGAGGCAGAGACAGAAAGAAGTCTTCCACCCGCTGGTTCATTCCCCAGATGGCTGCAATGGCTAGAGCTGGGCCGATTCAGAGCCAGGAGCCAGGAATTCCTTCTGGATTTCCCATGTGGGTGCAGGGGCCCAAGGACTTGGGCCATCTTCTACTGCTTTCCCAGGCCATAGCAGAGAGCTGGATTGGAAGTGGAGCAGCTAGGACTCGAACCAGTGCCATATGGGATGCTGGCACTGCAGGTGGCAGCTTTACCCTCTATACCACAGCGCCAGCCAGCCCTAGTTGCTACTTTTTAACCCATACCTTCCAGTGTGATAGAATCAGAATCCCAGATCTTCCGTTAACCTTCAGTAAATTTTCAAAAAAGACTCAATGGCTAATGACTAATTGAGGCAGTCGCAGTACTGAATTGCTTTCTCAAGCTTCACCCAACCCCAGAGGCTGTTAAAGGTTCCCAGGGGTGGGGCCGGCACTGTGGCGTAGTGGGTGGAGCAGCTGCCTGTGGTGCCGGCGTCCCATATGGGCGCTGGTTTAAGTCTCGGCTGCTTCATTTCTGATCCAGCTCTCTGCTGAGGCCTGGGAGGGCAGTGGAAGATGGCTCAGGTCTTTGGGCCCCTGCACCCGAGTGGGAGACCTGGAGGAGGCTCCTGGCTTCAGATCAGCGCACCTCTGGCCGTTGTGGCCAACTGGGGAGTGAACCAGTGGATGGAAGACCTCTCTCTCTCTCTGCCTCTCCTTCTCTCTCTCTATAATTCTTTCAAGTAAATATATAAAATCTTTAAAAAAAAGAAAAAGAAAAAAGGTTCCCAGGGGTTGCTTCTGCAGTTGGACTAGGGAGTGTCATGAAATCATGAAATCACGTTCCTCTTCCCTTTTCTTGACCACAGCACTGAAGACCGGGAGCAGGCACCTCAGCTGAAGTCAGGAGAAAATGCCAACATCCAGCCCAACCCCGGGCTGATCCTGCGGGCAGAGCCCACTGTCACAAACATCCTCAAGGTCAGTGTGCCCGTCTCTTGCCACCAGAGTCTTGTCTTTCCCTGTCCAGTCCCTGTACTTCCAAATAAGTAACCAGGGCTGCAGGGCTCTCTCTTGTCTGGTTTTCTTTTTCTTTTCTTCTTCTTCTTCTTCTTTTTTTTTTTTTTTTTTTTAAGATTTTATTTGTTTCTTTGAAGGGTAGAGTTACAGACAGATAGAGGGAGAGACAGAAAGAAAGGTCTTCCATCCTCTGGTTCACTCCCCAAATGGCCGCAACAGCTGGAGCTGGGCCAATCCAAAGCTAGGAACCAGGAGCTTTCTCCAGGTCTCCCACTTCTATGGCTTTCCCAGGCCATAGCAGAGAGCTCAATCGGAAGAGGAACAGCTGGGGCTAGAACTGAACCGGCGCCCATGTGAGATGTTGGCACTGGAGGCAGAGGCTTAGCCTACCGTGCCACAGCATCGGCCCCTCTTGTCCGGTTTTCTCACATAGTTTGCTCTGGAAGTAGAGAGAGGGGGAAAGCGGGCGCAGCTCCCCCTGAAAGCTGAGGTTTTATTGGGTTTTGCTTGCGGGCCAGGTGCTGTGGTTGGGGCTTTCACTGTTGCCACCTTGTGTGAAGACAGTAGACAAGCTCCCACCTTCGTGCCAGTGTGACTGAGAGGGATGGATGGATTTTAGGAGTGATTTTCCAGATGGGGGTCAGAAAGATGGAGTCGAAATTGTAGATTGGGGTGTACCGGTCAGTGGAGACATGCAGCGAGAGAAAAGGTGGCTGCACTGTGTCTGGGGGGTTCCACAGTGTTCTTTGGGACTTGATTTCCTGTCCTGTCCCCAGACGATGGATGCAGACCACTCCAAGTCTCCAGAGGGGCTGCTGGGAGTCCTGGGCCACATGCTGTCTGGGAAGAGTCTGGACCTGCTGCTGGCTGCTGCTGCTGCCACTGGAAAGCTTAAATCCTTCGCCCGGAAATTTATCAAGTGAGGGGAACTGAGCTCCTGATTGGTGGGGAGGCCATGTGTGAGGGAGGAGTTAGCAGAGTGGCAGTGAGGCACCTTGGACAGGTCTCCCAGGTCAGAGATGCACTGGCCAGGGTGGAACATCCCAGCTGGAGACCTTGCTGGAGCGATCTTGACCCAGAATGCCTTTTTCTCTTGAGCGGAGGGTTAGGTGGAGGTGGTGATAAGGTGATGAGGCAGTGAACAGGAGGCATGGTGGGTTCTGTGAGTGTCCAGCCGCTAATGAGAGCCTCTCAGTTCTCCTGCTTGTGTTGGTTGACTTGGAATTTGACAGAGATCATTGTCACATTCAGGGAGCCAGTCTCTAGGCTTTGGAACTCTTTTAATGACAGGTAGGAGAAAAAAATAATAGAAATAATTATTTTTTTCTGTAGCAGTGATGTTTATTTACAATTTTAAAAAGATTTATTCATTTATTTGAAAGAGTTCCACAGAGAGAGAAGGAGAGGCAAAGAGAAAGGTTTTTTGTCTGCTGGTTCACTCCTCAGATGGCTGCAACGGCTGGAGCTGAGCCGATCCGAAGCCAGGAGCCAGGAGCCAGGAGCCTCCTCTGGGTCTCCCACGCGGGTGCAGGTGCCCAAAAACTTGGGCCATCTTCTACTGCTTTCCCAGGCCACAGCAGAGAGCTGGATCAGAAGTGGAGCAGCTGGGCCTTGAACCGGCGCCCATATGGGATGCCAGAGCCTCAGGCCAGGGCCTTAACCCGCTGTGCCAAAGCGCCGACCCCTGTTTGCAAATTTTTAAGAAGTTTTTTTTTTTTTTTTTTTTTGAAAGGCAGAGTGAGAGAGAAGGTGAGAGATAAAGAAAGATCTTCCATTCACTGGCTCACTCTGCAGATGTCCACAGCAACTGGGACTGGGCCAGACTGAAGACAGGAGCTAGGAATTCCATCCGGGTCTCCCATGGGGGACCCAGGTACTTAGGGCGTCATCTGCTGCCCCCCAGGCTTCGTGTTAGCAGGAAGCTGGATCAGAAGCAGAGATGGGCCTGGATCCCAGACACTCCAGTGTGGGGTGTGGGCGTTCCAAGCTGAGGCTTCACCGCTGCCTCGCAGTGCCTGCCCTGTTTTGGGCTTAGTCGTGATTCCGATTCTAGTGACCGCCTCTCTGAGCGTGTGCAGCCCCTTGTATCTGATGGTTGCTCAGCTCTTCCCTGGTTGATGCCAGCTGTCTCCATTCCTTCCGCAGTTTGAACGAGTTGAATGAGTTCACAACGCATGGCAATGGAGAAAGCAGTAAGTCAGCGGCAGATCCCATTGGCACTGGATCTGCCAGTGGAGGGAGAAGGCAGGGGAGGGAGGGGCACCTCGGCTCACCCTGGGAAGGCTGTTTCCTCCCAAGCCATGACTGACTTAAAGAGGGCGGTGTTGGGAAAAATTTCTAAAACTGTCCTGTTGTTGCCTTCCTGCCCATCTTTATGGTTCAGCTGGGCATTAGGGGGAAGTCTTTGACTCCAAGGAAGGAATGATGTCCCTTGAGACTCAAGAAAAGGATTCTGAGCCTTGGCTTTGAAGGAGCCACTCAATCCCTGACCTTCCTTGAGGCAAATCCCGATCTTGCGACTCAGCCAGGGGCTTTGGGCCCTTGCCGTAGGCTGAGCTGTCAGCCTTTTTATCCTCTCACAGCCAAAGCAGCCTCAGTGCGTGCCTTGCTGTTCGACATCTCCTTCCTCATGCTGTGCCACGTGGCCCAGACCTATGGTTCGGAGGTGAGTGGGAAAAAGGAGAGGGGAACGACCCATAACCCTGCCATCCCCCACCTCAGTCAGTCTCCCAGGCCAGTTCTGCTGGCCTCAGAAAGCAGGTGCCCACCTTGGGCAAAGCCAGTGGACTTCTCAGTCACATCCACATCCTACAAGGACCGCTAGGTGGCAGCACAGTCCCCTGTCTGCCTCCCTCAGACCAGTTGGTCTGTAGTTCTTCAGGGTTGGAAGGGAACTGCAGGTTTCTAAATTTATTTATTTATTTCTTAAAAATATTTATTTATTTACTTGAAAGTCAGAGTTACACAGAGAGAGAAGGTGAGGCAGAGAGAGAGAGAGAGGTCTTGCATCCGCCGGTTCACTCCCCAATTGGCTGCATCGGCCGGAGCTGTGCCGATCCGAAGCCAGGAGCCTCCCCTGGGTCTCCCACATGGGCTCAGGGGCCCAAGGATTTGGGCCATCTTTCACCGCCCTCCCAGGCCATAACAGAGAGCTGGATCGGAAGTGGAGCAGCTGGGTCTCAAACCAGCACCCATATGGGATGCTGACACTGTAGGCGGCAGCTTTACCTGCTATGCCACAGCGGGGGCCCCTAAATTTATTTATTTATTTTTTAAGATTTATTTATTTATTTGAAAGGCAGAGTTACAGAGAGGTAGAGAGAGAGAGGTCTTCCCTCCGCTGGTTCACTCCCCAATTGGCTGCAACAGCTTGAGCCGCACGGATTGAAACCAGGAGCCAGGAGCTTCCTCCAGGTCTTCCTATGCAGGTGCAGGGGCCCAAGGACCTGGGCCATCTTCCGCTGCTTTCCCATGGCAGAGAGCTGGATCAGAAGTGGAGCAGCCGGGACTAGAACCGGCGCCCATATGGGATGCCGGCACTGCAGGCGGCAGCTTCACCACAGTGCCGGCCCCGGGAACTGCAGTTTGACAGGCAGTTGGGGTGTAGTCTTGGCCCAGCTCGGGCAGGCGCTGCACCCTCCACACTCTGCTCCTCTCTGCCCCCTCCCAGGTGATTCTGTCCGAGTCAAGCCCAGGAGCAGAGGTGCCATTCTTTGAGACTTGGATGCAGACGTGCATGCCCGAGGAGGGCAAGATCCTGAACCCTGACCACCCCTGCTTCCGACCCGATTCCACCAAAGTGGAGTCGCTGGTGGCCCTGCTCAACAATTCCTCAGAGATGAAGCTGGTGTTAGTGCCCGGGCGCCACTGCACGGAGGGAGGAGGGGCAGGGCCAAGCCCTTCTCCCGCAAGCCCATCTGTGCTCCCCACGGTGACTTTTCCCTCCTCCCCACCCTCTGTAGGCAGATGAAGTGGCACGAAGCCTGCCTCAGCATTTCAGCGGCCATCTTGGAAATCCTCAATGCCTGGGAGAATGGGGTGCTCGCCTTTGAGTCCATCCAGGTAGCCCCGCCTTTCTAGCAACCTCTGTCTTCCCAGGACACTAAGCCCGACACTGTTGGCTTGTCATATTTACTGCAAACAACAAGACCCATGATCCAGGAGCTCCTGTGTGGTGTTGAGCGTCCTGGAATCATAGTGTTAGCCATTGCTTCCCTCCCAGGTAGCACTGGGAAAATCCAACCTGTTGGGGAGAGGTGTTCAGTGTGGGAATGTGGCCTCGGGCCTACCTCCCCCTGCCCCAGCCCACAGATGCCCCAGGGAAGGGGAGATAGTAGCCTAGTCACTCTTGTCCCTGCCCCCAGAAAATCACCGATAACATCAAGGGCAAAGTGTGCAGCCTGGCGGTGTGTGCTGTGGCTTGGCTTGTGGCCCACGTCCGGATGCTGGGCCTGGATGAGCGGGAGAAGTCGCTGCAGATGATCCGACAGCTGGCGGGGCCGCTGTACAGTGAGAACACCCTGCAGTTCTACAACGAGAGGTCAGTACCGACCCCGACCCCTCCCCACAGATGTGTCCCAAAAAGGCGGCACCTCCAGGAGCCAGTGTCCCCTCACCTTCCCCAGTACGCTACTTGCTTGGTCACTTCCTGGCTCGCCCGCTCACTCACATTTCTTCTGCCACCCATCAGAATCTGAACCAGGCCTATGCTGCCCAGCTCCTGAGATTAGATGAGTTCAAGGTGTCCAGGGTGGTGTGGCTGCCGCTCAGTGTTGTCGCATGTTCATCCTGTGACTCTGGACCACGTAGTGTGTGTCTCTTGTCGTGAGTGTTTATCACCAGCGCTGCTGTGTGCCAGAAATGCAGTAGGATTCCTGCCCTCAGAGGTCTCGAGTTCCAGGGACTCGCTCACCAGGGTGCAGAGGGTCTGTCTGAGTGGCCTTGCTCTCTAGGAACCATGAGCCCAGCTGTAGGCCTGTGGGCAGCCCCCAACCCCAGTCGTCCTTTGGGATTTCCTGTCTTGTTCCTGGTGACTTCAGCTGTGTTGAGTTTGATGGTGTTGGTTCATTCACCCAGCCAACAAGTTATTTTAAAATTCTGGCAAAAGGCTGGCACCGTGGCTCACTAGGCTAATCCTCTGCCTGCGGTGCCGGCACACTGGGTTCTAGTCCCTGTCAGGGCACCGGATTCTGTCCCGGTTGCCCCTCTTCCAGGCCAGCTCTCTGCTGTGGCCTGGGAGTGCAGTGGAGGACGGCCCAGGTGCTTGGGTGCTGCACCCCATGGGAGACCAGGAGAAGCACCTGGCTCCTGGCTTCAGATCAGCGTGGTGTGCTGGCCGCAGCACGCCACTGGAGCGGCCAATTGGGGGGTGAACCAACGCAAAAAGGAAGACCTTTCTCTCTGTCTCTCTCTCTCACTGTCCACTCTGCCTGTCAAAAAGATAAAATTAAAAATTAAAAAAAAAATTCTGGCAAAAAACATGTAACGTACATCTTAACCCTCTTTCCGGCGCAGCACAGTTGTGTTAAGTGTGTTATTGTGAGACAGCTCCAAAATCTTCTCACCTGGCAGGTCTGGAACTCCCCCTCTTCATCAACAGCATGTGCGTCTGTCTCTGTAGATCTGACTCCTTTAGATGCCTCCTATCACTGGAATTAGGCAATATCTGTCTTTTCATGACTGTCTTATTTCGCTGCTCATAATGTCCTCAGAGTTGATCCATGCTGCACGTGACAGGATTTCCTTCCTCCTAAGGCTGACTAATCAATCCTCCACTGTGCACATGTGTCCAAATGCTGCTTACCCGTTCGTCCAGCCGTGGACACTGGGTTTCTTCCATCTCTGTTGTGAAGTTGTGCTAAGAGCACAGATGTTTACCAACACATCAGTTTGTTGGTGAATACATGAATAAATATATTTTTAAAATAAAATTTTAAATAAATATTTATTTATTAATTTGAAAGGCAGAGTGACAGAGAGAAGGAGAGAGAGAGAGGGAGAGTCAGAGATGTCTTCTATCTATTGGTTGACTCCCCAAGTGTCCCCAACAGCTGGGACTGGGCCAAGCAGAAGCCAGGAACCAGGAAGTCCATCTGGGTCTCCCCCGTGGGTGGTAGGGGCCCAAGGACTTGGGCCATCTTTTGTTGCCTTCCCAGATCAACAGGAAACTGGATCTGAAGTGGAGCAGTGAGGACCTGAACTGGCCTCCAATGTGGGGTGCGTCACAATCAGCACTTTAACTTGCTGTACCACAACGCCAGCCTTCCCCCCCCCCCCCATCAGTTCTAAGTGATGACTGGCAGGGTAGCCATTGAGGATATTTTATAAAGGAAAAGTAGCAACGTTTAGCTAAAGTGAGGTTTGGGGAGGGTCTGTAAAATCACATCTTTGGGGCCAGTGTTGTGCCAAAGCAGGTTAATTTGCTGCTTGCAATGCCAGCAACCCATATGGGTGCTGGTTCGAGTCCTGGCTGCTCCACTTTCAATTCAGCTCCCTGCTAATGCACCTGGGAAAATCCATTAGCCGAAGATGGCCTAAGTATTTGGAGCCCTGCACCCATGTGGGAGACCTGGAAGAAGCTCTTGGCTCCTGGCTTTGGCCTGGCCCAGCATTGGCTCTTGCAACCGTTTGGGGAATAAATCAGCGGGAAGAGCTCTGTCTCTCCTCTCCAACTCTGCCTTTCAAATAAAAAAAAAAATCTTTTGTTTTCTCTTTGTCTCCACCTTTTTTCCTTTCTTCCCTCATTGTCCTCCCAAAAGTAATGGCACTTTGGCTGTGACATAATTGACCCTGAGCACCCCACACCAGTCCCTGTCTGGGTGAGGAATAGTGGGAAATCCAGGGCTCCCTGGTACAGGTGGGAGAAGCGACCCTGGAAGCCCCAGCTGCTTTTCCAGCACCACCCAGCATTCCAGGAACAGTTGGCTCTCAGCCCCAGGTTTGCAGTCATAGTCAGACTCACACAAGAAGATTCCTGGATACACACTGAGATTTGCCCAGCTACCAAGGGCCGGGAAGAATCTCGTGGGGCAGCGCTGGGGCCTCTCCTGGAAGTAACAGTTTGCTTTGGGAGGAGGCCAAGGCTGGGCGGGGACCCCCTCAAGCACTGGGCCCAAGGGGAAGTGATTGTATTTATTTATGTCAGAGGGTTGGCAGCGCCCAGGCCTGGGGTGAGGGGAGGTTGGAGAGGGAGAGGAACAGGAATATAGCGCTGGAGCCGCAGAACAGAGGGAAGGCCCTGCACTGGGCCCTTTAAGGGCTTCGTGCCCAGCAGGTAGAGCCCTGCCAGCTCTGCTGGGGGTTGTCTCCTGCTGCCCCACCGAATGAGGCCCCGTTCCCCGGGAACACTTCCACAACCCAGGTCCAGGGGAAGTCTGGCCTGGGTGTGTCCTCCCCTTCCCACCAAGGCACCTGAACCTCAGGTCCTCCCCTTGCACAGGGTGGTGATCATGAACTCCATTTTGGAGCACATGTGTGCTGACGTGCTGCAGCAGACCGCCACGCAGATCAAGTTCCCGTCCACTGGGGTCGACACGATGCCCTACTGGAACCTGCTGCCCCCCAAGCGACCCATCAAGGAGGTGCTGACAGACATGTTTGCCAAGGTGCTGGAGAAGGGCTGGGTGGACAGCCGCTCCATCCACATCTTTGACACCCTGCTGCACATGGGGGGCGTCTACTGGTTCTGCAACAACCTCATTAAGGTACTTGGCTGGGATGGCGGGGAGCCAGGGCCGGGCTGCAGGGTTGGAGGAGGCTGCACAAACACCTGACCAGGCCAGACTCCGGCCTGGCCCGGGGGCCGCTGTGGCTAGCTTCGTGGGTCCTGGCCTCAAGGAGCTGCCCGTTGGCTGTCGCTCTGGCCAGAGGCTGTGAGTTGGGAGGAGCAGGAGCAGCACCGGAGCCCTGGCCTCTGCCCTGCCCTCCAGGAGCTGCTGAAGGAGACGCGGAAGGAGCACACGCTGCGGGCTGTGGAGCTGCTCTACTCCATCTTCTGCCTGGACATGCAGCAGGTGACCCTGGTCCTGCTGGGCCACATCCTGCCCGGCCTGCTTACCGACTCCTCCAAGTGGCACAGCCTCATGGATCCCCCTGGCACCGCGCTGGCCAAGTAGGACTTTCTCCAGAGCCTGCCGGGCTCCCTCTCCCTGGGCCTCAGGCAGTCCCGCCTGGGCCCGCCCCGGGAAGCTGGGCAGATGGGGCCTGATCAGCGTGGACCAGAAACCCCCTTTTGGGCCCCTCTAATTGTTCCACTTTTCCTGGAACCCTTGGCCAGGCTCGCCGTGTGGTGTGCTCTGAGTTCCTACTCTTCCCACAAGGGACAGGCGTCCTCCCGCCAGAAGAAGAGACACCGGGAAGACATCGAGGTAGCGGCCCCTTGCTCGCGCGTTCCCATTTCATCCAGCAGACATTTCCAGGCGTTTGCTGGTGAGAGGCGCCTTCCCTGGCTGAGGGCCTCAGGCATGGCTCCTGCCCTTGGTGCAGCTGTATTTGGGCCTGGGTGGGCACAGGCTGGAGGGGTAGCTCACGTGGCCCCCCAGACTGCCCTTAGTAAGAGAAGCTGGTGAGGTCCGCCCCAAGGCGGTGAGGGCAGAGGCCCGAGGCCGTGTGGGCTGTGGGCAGGTGGCTCTTCTCTGCGTCGAGTCCTCGCTGATACCCAGAAGTCTGGGGCTCAGGTTGTGAAACAGTGACTGCCCCTCAGGACTACAGCAGCCTCTTCCCCTTGGACGACACGCAGCCGTCGAAGCTGATGCGACTGCTGAGCTCCAATGAGGATGACGCCAATATCCTTTCGAGCCCCAGTGAGTAGAGGGGCTGCCTTTGCCAGCCCCCCCCCCCCCCCCGGCCCCGAGAGCCGCGCATGCACAGACGCAGCCACAGGCTCCGCTGGCTGGTTCTTCCCTGGTCCCTCCCTTTCACCACAGGGTTGGGGGGTGACAAACCACGCAGGTATGGCCACAGCTGCCTCAGTACAGTCTGTGCCATTGACTCATCAGCTCTGTGCTTCCTTCCTTCCCCCAAAACACACCCTGTGGTCTGGAGCAGGCCCAGCTGGGACTGGGGCTGCTCCCCACTCTTCCTGCCCGCGGAGCACCGGCCCAGCCTGGCTTCCACGCCCCCTTCCCCTAAGGCCTCTTCGGTGCCATTTCTCTTTCCTGAGAATAGAAATTTCTCTGAGGCTTTTTGGGGACTTCGGGGTCCAAGTGCACGTGTGAGAGGAGGAGAGATACTGGGCCTGCCACCTACAAGCCCCGTGACCGCGGCTTGTTGCTTAGCGAGGCTGAGCCCCCATGTCCTCACCTGCAGATGGGGTGTGAGAATTGAGAGCTGAGTCCTGGTGCAGCCCGGAGGCTGGGCCCCGGCCCCGGCGGTCCTCCTCATGGGGATGTCCGCATTCAGAGCTCCTCTGGACTCTGGTCTGAGGGTCTTCTCTGGGCTCTGCAGGGATCAGCTGATCCCCGAGTTGGGGGGGGCTGCCACTGGCAGAGCCACCAGTGAGTGCAGTGGCCGTCTCCTCAGCGTCCCTGCGCTCCTCCCCACAGCTGACCGCTCCATGAGCAGCTCCCTCTCGGCCTCCCAGCTCCACACGGTCAACATGAGGGACCCTCTGAACCGAGTCCTGGGTGAGTCCCCCGCTGCTGCTCCTGAACCTCTCCCTAAGGGAGGCAGGGGCCACGTCCGCTGGAAGAGGCCTCGCCTCCCCCACTGCACCTGCTTCCCCCTCGCCAGTGCTCCCGTGTCTCCCCGTTTTCCTCTATTTCCCCTGGACATTCCTGCCTGCGGGTCTCGGCGCCCCCTTCTACTCCCCTGCCTTCCCCTGGACTCTGATCTCTGCCTCCTCTTGCTCTCCCGTCCTGCACAGCCAACCTGTTCCTGCTCATCTCCTCCATCCTGGGGTCGCGCACCGCCGGCCCCCACACGCAGTTCGTGCAGTGGTTCATGGAGGAGTGCGTGGACTGCCTGGAGCAGGGCAGCCGAGGCAGCATCCTGCAGTTCATGCCTTTCACCACCGTGAGTGCCCTTCACCCCGGGCCACCGCCAGGCGGCCCAGGCGTCGCTGCACCCGCACCGGGGTGGGGCCTCCTTCCTCCTGGGACCCTGCACCACCTGAGGAACCTGGTGAGCCTCTGTTGTTCTGTCTGTGGCAGGTCTCGGAGCTGGTGAAGGTGTCAGCCATGTCCAGCCCCAAGGTGGTTCTGGCCATCACGGACCTCAGCCTGCCTCTGGGCCGCCAGGTGGCCGCCAAAGCCATTGCTGCCCTCTGAGGGCTTGGAGTGGCTGCAGGAATGGCTGGGAGGGTCCCAGCCTCAGGCACCTCAGGAGGGAAGAGTGAGGAGAGATGAAACGGCGTTGCTCTGGTGTGAGAGCCCTTGGTTGGTCTCCAGAACTTTTCCCCCCTTCCTGACTTCTAAACAGTTCCTACTTTTTTGTAATTTCTTCTCCCCTCTGCCTGTATCTAAAGAGAAGGAGCAGCCTGGATCCTTAGCCCAGGGCAGGGCCCCTGTGCAGCCTTCCCCCTTGCAGATTGGCCCCCAGGACTTCATGGACGCAAAGGGTGTGTGTGTATGTGTGAGAGAGAGAGGGAGAGAGAGAGTGCATGTGCATGTGTGTACGGGCCGTGTATTTTTGTAATGTGAGGGGAAGCCCACCTCAGCTCATTTGTAAATAAAGATCCTCACGGATCACATTGTGAGTGTCCGCACCATGGGTGTCTGCGTCTGCGCCCCGTGTCCCTTGCACTGGAGCTGGGGGAGGGGGGAGGAGGAAGAGGCTCAGGAAGTAGGGCTTAGGTTCCCGTGTGTGTTCACTGGGTAGGGGAGGGGGGCAGTGAGAGCAGCTTCCTGGGCTCAGACCCAAGTGAGGTGACAGCACTGGCCTGCGGCCCACCTGGTGAGCCGTACCCTGAAGCGGGAGGGGTTCTGGCATGCTGGGGCAGCATGTCCTGTTCTGTGGCTCCCCACCCGGTCTGTCCGGCCTGCAGTTTGAGCTGTCGCTTCCACAGGACAGGGCGAGGGACAGCAACGCTCTTGAACCCTTCCTTGCCTCTCCACACGCTCGGAGCCCCTGTGGGAGAGCCCTCAGCCAGGCAGTTGGGGTCTGGCCTTGCTGTCTAAGGCACTGCGGGGAGGAGAATGGGTGACAGGAGCTGAGGATAGGGAGGGCGCCCAAGACAGTGGGCTGGGTGGTTTGCGGGGATCTTTGAGCTGGAGGCCTGCCTGGTGCCTGCAGTGTAGACACCATATCCCCCCATCCCGAGCTGTGCTCCACCCTCTTCAGCCCCATCAGGCAGGGCCAAGGAGGAGAGGGTTCTTTCTGGGCCCCGACCTTCCACTGGCTTCTGTCTTCCCCAAGAGCCACGGGGTGGCAGCCACGGCCGCCTTTGCTGCTGTGGGCCAGCATCGGCGGAGGGGGCCCGGATACATGAATGCCACAGGACTGCGTGTTGGCTGGGGTGGGGGGGTCCTTCCCTCCCTGCCCCCTGCTCCTCTCCCACCCTTCAGCACCCCTGCTCCCCACCAGGCACCAGCCAGACTCAAGGAGGAGGAAGGCCGTTTCTGGAGACACATTTTATTGCCCTAAAACTTGGTGACAGTGAGAAAGGGGGGCAGGGAAGGGGTGACAGCACACTTCCTGTTGCCCCCCCCCCCCCCCAGCAGGAGTCCCCTTGTCTTTTCCCTCTCACATTCCCAAGGCAAATGCCCAGCCAGAAAAGGAGCCAAATCCTGCCGCTGCTGGGGCAGGCGCCACGGCTCGGGACATCCGGTGATGCCTGCACTGCCCGCCCGTGAGCCAGAGGCCTTCACAGGGCCTGGCTTCCCAGCCCTGGCTGCCCCTGTCCAGGACTTTACCTAATACGCGTGGTGGGGGGCTGTGAGGGGGCATGGGACCTGGTTGGCCCAGTTGGGGAACACTGCTGTTTAAATATTAAACAGAGCAGTCTTGTCTCCCACGTGGACCTCCTGGTGCTCCCCAGGGCCCCGGGGGCTCACGGCAGCTCTTCCCAGTGCCCGCGGAGGCTGCCGGGAGCCCTGTCAGGAATAAATACTTGGTATTTACCAATCTCCCTCCCATGCAGGAGAATGAAACTTGGAGAGAGGGAAGGACCTGGAGTCTGGAGTTGTTTCACTCTTCCCTGTCTTTAAATACGAGGCTTAAATAAGCATAAATATTAAATAGAGATAAATACAGTGGGAAGGGGAGCTTTGCTCAGGGCTGGGCCAGGTAGCGCAGGACACGGTAGGTCAGCTCCAGGAAGCTCTGCAGGTGGGAGGCGACCAGGACGCTGCCCGCCCGGCGCTGGAAGGCAGAGGTGAGGGCTGGCATGGTGCTCTGGGTGGGCTGCACGGCAGGAGCCTGCCCCAGGTCCTCCATCTGTGGGAGAGGAGATGAGGTTAGGGCCACTGAGCAGGCCTTGGTACCAACGAGGAAGCGCTGGGAGCTGATGGGGCTGGGAGTCACGTGGTTGAGGGGGTCCAGGACTCGAACTGAGGTCTGTCTCAAGGTCCTGGGATCTGGCTCCTTGTTCTCCAGGGGACTGGAGGAAGGTCAGTGTGAGGTTCCTGACCTGGGGTGGTGGCTTCGCGTGCCCAGGCCCCGAGAATGTGTCCACCCCAACCCCAGAGCATCTCGGAGCCCTGGTGAGCACTCAGCCTTGCTGTGCGCCTCCCCCAACAAGGCTCACCTGGTGCCAGATGGTGGTGGCAAAGTCGGCGACATCCAGCTGCAGCTTGTCCAGGGCTGGCGCTGAGGCCGGGGAAATCCCCGCCAGGGCCTGCAGGAGGCCGCGGTAGAGGAGGAGGCCGCTGTGGAGTTGGCTCAGGCAGCCGGGCTGCGGGTGGAGCAGGAGTTAGGGGAGCTGCTGGGACCCTCAGGGAAGAGAAGTGGGGCGCCCCGGCATGGGTGTGAGCCCCTCTCCCCGCCCTCCCTGGCACTCACCAGCTGCAGGGCCTGGCTGGAGCAGCTGCTCAGCGGAGCCCGCGGGATGCCCAGAGAGTGCCCGAGCAGCAGCAGCTCCTCAGGGTGGCACAGCTTGTGGGTGGCGCACTGCGGGTGGGAGGATGCGGAGTGACACCAGCCAGGGCCACCCCCCATTTCTCGGGGCTGCCCCCCCTTCCCCCTCCTGCCAGGCTTCTCAGCCCCTCCCCCAGTGCGCTCTCGGCCTTGGGCCTCCCCATCCTGGTCCCCAGCAGGGCGTCTCTCCCCAAGTCCTTCCCAGCCACCTCTTCTTTCTTCCCTGTCCCCGTGTGTCTCCCTCTCCTGGCGCCTTCCTGATGAGGGCTCCCTCCCCCTCTTTCCTCCACAGCCCTCCTGTGCCCCTGCCTCTCCCTCACCAGCTCCTCCTGCAGCATCGAGGTGTCAGCCTGGATCTTCCGCACTTGCTCTGAGCACTTGAGCAGGAAGCCCTGGGGCAGGGAGCTGGCAGGGCCTGGGGGCGCAGCTTCTTGCACTGCCCAGAGTGCACCGAGCCAGAGCAGCAGCTGCAGGGCTAGAAGGAGATGGGGCTCAGAAGATGCTGCCTGCTCCCACCTGGGTCCCTCTTGGGTGCTGGGTGGCCATCACCCCAGGCTGGGGATCGCTAGCCCCTCTGCCACTTCAGCCTCCCTCCCACACCCAGGCCAGGCAGCTGGCCAGTGCTGAGCTAGGATACTCACCCATTGACTTCGTGGGGCTCTGGGCAGCAAGTTTGGCCTTGGGTCTGTGTTCTGTCAGGGCTCAGCGCCTGAGGGCCTTTATACAGAACCCCATTGAGGCCTGGAGGAAATTACCTGGGGCCACGACTCAGACTTTGTAATTTCCCAGGATTTATGCAAATGCGGCGTCCAAGACAATGCAGGGGGTTGGGACAAAAGGCTGTTTGCGAAAGCTTTTGTGAAATTGTGGAATCTCTGATCCTTTGACATCTAGTCCCCCTCAAACTCCCTTCCTCCCCTCCAGCTCCTCCCTGGCCTACATCGCCCCGGGGTGTTTGAGCCTAAAGAAAAGCGAACAGCTGGTAAAAGCCTCCCAGGCTGGAGGCTCCTCGGCCTCTGAGGTCTGGCCCCAGGACGGCCTCCCGCCCTCCTCTGGCAGCCACTCCGGGCAGCCCTCTCTGCCTCTCTCCTTTGGGATTCTCAAGCCACCTGCACCACAGGCCCCCAGATAAGGGAGAAGGCAGTGAGATGGCCCCCATAGGTACCCCCAAGGCCCTGGGGTGCTGGCTCCAGAGGGGCTAGGGCCCGAGACAGGGACATTGGCCCTTGCCTCTGGCCGCCACCCCATACCCCACACTGGGATAGGCACCATCCCAAGTTTCAGGCTGTCTTGTTCCCAGCTGATTAGCTGGGAACTCCCCGATACCCCCCGCTCTGACTCATTCCTTTAAGCCCCCGGAATGCGGCAGAGGCCAGAGGAAGCCGGATGCCTGTCCTGAATGAAGCAAGACCATTGAGGCTCTTGCTCACCTGACCTTGCCCTTCCACTGTCCCCTCTGCTACCCCTGGTGCACTGCCCGTAAGACAGCAGCGTTCTCTGGGCTTTGGAATTGGGGGGCCGGTTCCTGTGAGTTCCCTGCCCCAGGGAAGAGGCACCAGCCAGCATGTGCTGCCCTCAAGTGGGCATGGGCTGGGGGTGACAAGGAGAAACTGCCCTGTCTTTACATCCCAGAGCCGTGCACTGTTAGTGCTGAACGTGAACTTGTCAGAGCCAGCCACGTGGACTGGGTCTGATAAGGAAGTGCCTGGCCTGCGGTCGTGGGTAGCAGAGTCATGTTACAACCTGAGCCTCTACCGGGCAGTGGGCCTGTCGGGGCGGTCTGACTGACCGCACCCAGGGCTGTCACTTTCTGAACAGTCTACCACAAGTGCTCCAAGAAAGACTTCTCTGGGTCAAGAGGGGATGTGGCGCCCTGGGCGGGGCCATCCCTGGGGCTGGGGTGCCCTCTTGCGGCCACAGCTGGCAGAGCCATCACCTGTTGAGCTCACAGATTCATCTGGTCCCCCTGTGCCTCTACGCTGATGAGGTCGGGCTGTGTGCCCAGCAGCGCGTGGAGGGCAGGACATCCACATCCTCGAACCTGCCGACTGGCAGCCCTCAGGTGCCTCTTCTACGTCTTCGCACGATATTCTTCCCGTCACCCAACAGGTGTGTGACACACGAGGGTGGGCCTCACAGGTCACAGAGCCCGCAGGATGCGGAGTTCTGTTGGCTTCCCAAGCCAGTGGGACTCCTGTCCAGACAGCCGTCTGGGTAATGGTGCAATCCGCACTTGAGCTCTAGTCGGGCGCTGAAGACCAGGTAGAGAGCAAGGGCTCGTTGCCGGCAGCGTGCTGCGCAGGCGCTGCACTGCCCCGGAAGCTGAAAGCAAAATCTGACAAGGCACCTGGCTCGAGACCCCCCATTCATCCCTTCAGCTTCCCCCGGGCCCTCCCGGGTGTTCCCTCATGGTCAGAACTGGCTGGCAGCTTGCCCTCCCACTGCCTGCTTCCTTCTGGTGCTCGCTCAGAGCATCTGTAGCAAGGATCCGAGGGACTCGGGTGGTTGCTGAGGGCAGTTCGGTGGTATGGAGTAATGAGGCGCATGTCCTGTGGCCGAATGATTCTACTTCACTAGGCCTCAGAGCTGGGGGAGGCAGGCTCCGCCTCGCGCTGAGTGAGGAATGGCTTTTACCTTTGTATTTGAAGGGCAGAGCGAGAGAGCTTCCATCTGCTGGTTCACCCCCCAGATGGTTGTAACAGCAGAGGGATGATGATTTCTGTCTTTCAATAAATATTTAAGAAATAGTTGTGAAAACAATCAGAATATTTAGTATCATGTAAAAAACCATTTGAAATTCAAGTTCCAGTGTCCATAAACCATTCCCTTACATGTTGCTATGGCTTTCGAATTGGAAAGGCAGAATCGGGTAGTTGTGACGGAGGCCATATGGCCGACATGCCTAAAAACTGTCTCTGTGGCCCTTTGAGTTTGCAAATCCTGTACGCCGTTGGTATTGCAAGACCACAGACACGCTCTCTTAGGCGCTGTCTGGTGAATCAAGTCTCCAGCATGGGAGGGGGGATGCTAAATAAACTGCAGTCCACTCACACATCCGCCTCCCCACCTGCCCGGCCTGCGAACTCCGCGAGGAGAGGGACCATTTTATTCAGGAACGTTGTTAGTGCAGTAGGCATGCGTACCGACACAATCAGCTCTCAGGCAGCAGTGACAGAGCAAGCTCCATTCTGGTAACGTGAACACGCCCTTTACAAAAACTCAAAGCTGTGTGTTCTAGGGAAAGTAGGAAAGCAGAAAGTGGCTTACTCACAGAGTTCGGCCGGAGGCTGCCCCTGCGGAGGGAGCCAGAGACTTCAGCTTGCCTGGCGCTTCCTTCCTTCTCGGGTTAAAGCATCACACAACAGAACGTTAGCGTTTATTAAGCCTGGGTAGAAAGTATGTAAGTGTTTGTTGTGTTATTCCTTGTACTTCTACGTTGTTTTTGCAATTCTAAAACACTCAAGGGAAGGAATACAGTGAGCTCCCCAGGTGGGAAAGACAGGAAGCTTCCCCAGGAAGTGCAAAGCCAAGACAGCAGCTTCCAGAGGGGGACAGAGAAATGGTCCCGAGACTCAAGGTGGGCAAGAACCAGGAAATCATGGCAAATGATGCCAACTTTCTGTAGCAGCCATCAACTCTCAGCAGTCTCTTTCCAAGCCAGAAAGGCCTGTGGCGCTGGGGGTCAAGTGGAGACTCGCAGATCTGTCATGTGTGCGGTTGGGTAGCACCAGGCAGAACGACAGCTGTGACCAGAGACACTAAACAGGCGAGACGAAGCTGTAGGCAGCTGCACCCGCCCTATTATACCTGTGTCCTATCACACAGCTTTTGAGGTCAGGTACAGTGAGTGGTCAAGGGCCGGAAGGACAAGCCACCTGGGCTGGCGCCGCGGCTCACTAGGCTAATCCTCCGCCTGAGGCGCTGGCACACCGGGTTCTAGTCGCGGTCGGGGCGCAGGATTCTGTCCTGGTTGTCCCTCTTCCAGGCCAGCTCTCTGCTGTGGCCCGAGAAGGCAGTGGAGGATGGCTCAAGTGCTTGGGCCCTGCACCCCATGGGAGACCAGGAGAAGCACCTGGCTCCTGGCTTCGGATCAGCGCGGTGCGCCGGCCACAGCACGCCGGCCGCAGCAGCCATTGGGGAGTGAACCAACGGCAAAGGAAGACCTTTCTCTCTCTCTCTCACTGTCAAACCCCAAACCCCAAGCCAACCAGGTAACAGAACCCCAGACTGAGCCTGGGAGAAGGCAGCACAGCCTGAGAGAATTTGAGCTGAACTCGGAACCAGACAGGCAGGGCGACTCATGGGAACCAGTGCTTGAATCCCCAAGACACCCAGGAGGTGGCCAACATTCGCTCCCTTTCCTGGAAGGGAATTAAAGAGCTCTTCAGGGGCTGTTGTGGTAATGCGATGCCAGTACCCCAGTTGGGCACCAGTTCCTGTCCTGGCTGCTCCACTTCCAATCCAGCTCCCTGCTAATGGCCTGGGAAAAGCAGCGGAAGATGGCCCGAGTACCTGGCCCCTCCACCCAGACTCAGATGGGAGTGGGAGACTCAGATGAAGCTCCTGGCTTGGGCTTGGCCCAGCGCTGGCTATTGTGGCCACCTTGGGAGTGAAGTGGCGAATGCAAGACCTCTGGCTCTCCCTCTCTCTTTGAAAGATTTATTTATTTATTTGAAAGGCAGAGCCACAGAGAAGCAGAGGCAGAGTTCTTCCAGCCGCTGGTCCACTCCCACAACGGCTGGAGCCGGGCCGATCCGAAGCCAGGAGCCTCTTCCAGGTCTTCCACGCAAGTACAGGGGCCCAGGCCATAACAGAGAGCTGGATCGGAAGTGGAGCAGCTGGGACTTGAACCGGCACCCTTATGGGATGCTAGCACTGTGGGCAGCAGCTTTACCGGCTATGCCACAGCATTGGCCCCAAAATAAATCAATCTTAAAAAATGAATTAGGACACTAGATAACATCTGCCACAGAGTGATGGGAGAGAGCTGGAGAGTAGAAGGCAATGCTGTTCCACACAGCCGGCTTCAAGTGCTGACACGCAGAGGCACAGACGCTTCAAGTGAGCAGCGCCGGATCCCCGCAAGCAGGACTGGGTGGGACCCGGAAACAGCAGCCTGGGACAAAGCCTGGAGCACTCGGTGCAAATACAGATACTGCAGCTGACAGCCACGAGCCCAGCGTGGGCCACAGACTGGCTAGGAAAACAGTTTGCCCCGACCACACCCTAACTAAAGCACCTGATGGTGGGAAAGGGCCTTGGCCACTGAGTCCGGACCTGGAGGACACGTGGAATTCAGCACAGTGGAGGGGACGTGTGGCCAGAGGCCGAAGGCTACCAGGTGCTTTTCAGATCAGGGCTTGGAGGAGCAAGACTGTGACGTGCCAGGTGCTGGCCAGAGAACAGACTCGAGGCGGGAGCAGTGGTGCTCGGGATGCAGCTCGCCTCCTCCCCGGCAGCTGCGCAGGCCCTCGCGCTGCCCGCCCTCGCGCTGCCCTGGAAACCAGGACTCCAGACCAGGGAGAAGATTCCAGGCCTTTCGATACGGCAGCCATGGGGGCCAAGAGTAGTAACTGATGCACAAAGAGCTCTGGAGAACATTTTTATTGTTAAAAATCATAATTGAAGCTTCAAAAAACATAGAATTGAACACATGTCCCAACTCCAGTGCCCTACTCCCTTGAGGAGAGCACGGGGCTGTCCCTCCCTCCTGCTGCCCACGCCACTAGCCAGGACCCTGTCCTGGGGAGGCCACCCGCTCTCCTGCCACCGTGTGCTAAGTCACCGGGTGGGGAGGGGCCCTGGG